CTATGTATAATTACATTATTTGCATTAGGATTAAGTATTAATGAATTACAAAGTAAAACAATTTATGCACTAAGATCTACTCACTAAGATGAACATTTTAAAAGTTGTAATCTATATATTAACTATATAAAGCACTTACATTTTGTACAACAGAAGCAAATTGTTTAAATTATATATAAGTCGTACAAGATGTATATTTATTTCTTTTACTAAATAATTTTAAATAATCTCGATATTATACTTGATCCAACGTATGGGAATTTAAGAATACAAAATATTTGTTCACATTGCATAGTTTACATTACTTTCATTTTATTTAACATATATACAGTTGAAATTTAAAATAAAGTTTACTTATAAAAATTTTAATTTTTATCCATTATAATAAATTATGAGTATTATTTTTTAAATATTAATAAAATATTTTTGGTTTAATTATGATTAATGTATAGAAAAAGGTTAAAATATAACGGGAAATCTATACAATACACTTTTTGTAAAATGTACGTAATTAGGGAAAACCTTATTGGCTCTGTGAAATTACTCAAAGTTTCAATAATACCGGTATATTATTTAAAGAATAAAGATTTTTTTTCAAAATTTGTATGTTTATAAAATTTTCTATAAATTGAAGAAATTTTTTATGCTTTATCGAATATATATTCTTATTTATATACTTAATTAAGTTTAAACAAACGTAATGATAATAAATCGAAAACCAATCGCTTTTATTATATGAACCCTATTTTACAAACAAGGAACTATGAATCAATACATATTATATTTTTATAGATATTTTATACGTATAGAATAAATTGTTCTCATATTAAATTAACTAAAATTTATCATTAAATTTTGTAATTTTATTATATTATTTATATATAACTTTTGAAGTATCAATTGGAAATTTATATCGCCAGTATTTAAAAATATCATCTTCTAGTTTGTCTAGTAGTAAAATATTAATTTTTATATATTTAATTTATCTTGAAGTTTTATTCTTATTAATGTAATATAATTCTTATTAATGGAATATTGTAATATTTATATTTATAAAACTATGAAATATAAACATTTGTTTTATATTAAAATCAAATTATGAAAGTATTTAAATAAAGTAAAATATAAAAATATAAAATAGTATCTTCATAAATATAATGAAAAATAAATGAATGTTATGTTACAATTTTTGTACTTAAAATATATCCTACGTTAATTATGCTTCTTACACGTGATCGAAACATTATTACCTCCGTTTAAAACGTAAGAAAGGCAATAGCAATATCAATATAAAGAGGCAACAGTTTGTTCTTATTAGTGGGGTTTGGGACTACCATATATCCCTGTTTATTGTCTAATTAACAATTAAAAAATTAAACAATAATTAACGAATAATGACATGCAATATAAAACTAATAAACTTGTAACTGTTATTCATAATAAATCCTCGTGTAGGTGATCAATATTTTTCATTGTTTTAATTTACTTCCGGTTTAATTTCTTTCTATATTATTATATTTTTGTTTCATATTAACCTCTATTCTGATGATTTCCCGATAGCTATGATAAACAGATTTAGTGAAGGATAATTATGTCTCATAAGAATGAAATGGAGATATAATGGATTTTTTGTAATCATTACGTTAATCACATCATGACACATGATTGTCTATATTTACTTTATTTATGCCTATATATAAATTAAGAATTACTATATATCTATATGCTATAGATTAAATGAGCCTTATAATTATTGATCAAAAAGTTCTGTTCAATTTCGATATAATGAATTAAAGTATTCAATCAGTTACATTGTATACTCTTGACATACGTAAACTGGTAGGAAATGCTCTTGTTTCATTGTTTAAAATTAAAATTATAACATCAAAGTTGCATTTAATTAAACTTTAAATACTATATATTTTAATTATTCAATTAAAAAAATTAATTTTTATTATGTAAATTCTAAATTCGATTTTTAGTTTGCTTTATTTTATTATGAACTTACTTTTTATTATAAATGTTCTTTTTTGAAGATTTTTCAATAAAATTTTTTTTATTTTAAAAAATTTCACGTTAAACTTACTATCATCATTTCATTATTAATTTGCTTTATTATTATCTTATTTTTATTTTTTATTTTATATATTATATTTATTATATTATATTATTAATATATATTATTAATATTATTAATATATTATTATTTATTATTATATAATATATATAATATAGATCTTATATTATATAAATAATATCTTATTTATAATCATATTAACTTTCTTTATTCTTTTATTTTCCATTTTATTTTTCTCTTACTCTTGTGTTATGGTCTAATTTGTTGCAGATTATCTGGTCATGTTTAGTGATGATTGCAAACTCTTTTTTCAATATTATGTTCTTCTATTTTTTTATTTATAACGCTTACTTTTCGGAGATTTGTTTGTTCAATATAATAAGTATATAATATAATTAGTATAATATATACAAATTAATATAATTAGTATAATATATACAAATTAATATATATATACAAATAAAAAGATGTGATATTCCTATAATAATTAAAGATTTGTTGAAAGTTTTTACAGTATAATTTTTTAAATCTTGCTTAAGTATTCTAAGTATTTTATTTTATATTTTTTAACTTTAGGAAAACAAATTGTGATAAAATAAAGTAATATTAACAATTTTGTATCATATTTATTATAATAGAAATCTTATGTAATATCTGAAACTGTTATTATTGAGAAAACAATAAAAACGAAATTTTATAATTTCAAGAATATAATGGTATAAAAATGTTTTTCAAAGATATATGAAATAGTTGGAATGTATCTTATGATACATGTATATTAAATTTATTAAGTAATTTTTCCATCTCAATTGACTTTTATAATTATGTATGATGGACAAATAGAATATAAATTTTGGACAACATTTATTTAGATATAATTAATTTCATATTTTTATTGTACTTTCAATTTTTTTATCGATCTATAGGTCGTGTTACACCAAGAAATATTAAAAAATTTATATGAACCCTCCGAATTAAGAAGTTGTATTTATTATATCTAATAAATAATGTAACATTATAAGGTTATATGTAATTAATAAATACATATCAGATAAACACAACATTTGCTTTTTTTATCACAGTTTAATATTAGAAATATTAATAACCTTCATGATTGTACATTGTTCATCTTAATCATCCCCTTGTAATTTATCTTTTGATAATATTTGTTGATTCCAGTTTTAAGTATTTTATTTAAATTTCAATTAAATTATTATTTTTAAGCTTATATCATTTTAATTATTAGAAATTTAATATTAGAGTTCGTACAGTTTAAAAGGTATTAATAAATTTCTACTACATAAATTTGTTGTAGATATACATCTTTAATGTTTTGTATATTATATTTAATTTATTAAAGTAATACTAGTATTTCTATACTACATTATCGTTAGTGAATATATAATTCTATAATTATTCTCATGAAATTACTGTAATTATAGCTTTATAAAACAGAAAGAAATAATTTGCTTTTGTTGAAATGTCTTAGTTATTTTTAAAAAGATTATATAATGTGGTTTTTTATTTTTAAGTTTCTAAAATAATGAAAATCAGTGTACAAAATTTCTTGTTTCTAAAAATAAGTACAATTTCATGGAACTATCCTTGTTTCATTTCATAAAATAGTAATATCTTTTAAAATATACTTCAATATAATTTGTTTTGTAACAAAAAATACTTTTCTTTTCCATAATTAGAAAAGAAAATAAGGTAAATATTCAGTTCTATGATTATAATATTATATGCTTTAGACGATTTTTAAAAAGTGCTTAATCAAGTCTAAAAATTCTGCCTACTTTTACCTCTCAATAATCAATATAATTTAGAGCTAAAGAGATTTGCCTTAACTTCTCTACTACAACTGATTTATGAATTTATTTATGTCTCATTTTAATGAAAGTTATCTGAAAGTTTTCTTAGTTTTAAAAAAGGATATTTAACTAAATATTATTATCGACAATAATTAGTGTCAAATCAACAACTTAATCCCACAGAAAAAAATGTATTAGAAGATAATTAAAAGATATTGGAATGCTTTATCAATTATAAAAAAATTATGCTTAAAAAAATATTAAGTACTGAATTTCATCATTTTATTAAATTAATATAAAGTTTGATCTGAATTTAAAGTATTGTAAGAGTTTTTAAATAAAATAAGTCATTAATGTATAGATAATTTATTTGTTAATTATTTGTTTATAGCAACCTAATTGTCTTTGAATTGTTAGATAAAAGATTAAATACAAACAGTTTTTCATATTAATTTATTGTAATACATTGATACACATATATGTAAGTATTGTAGAAAATACAATTTTAATTGTTTTATCAAAAATTTTCATCATTCAAAGAATTCGATATCTTATTAAAATTCAGTATTAAAAATAAAAAAAAATATAAAGATTAATTTTCACAACATGCCAATTAAAAATTAAGAAAAATTACTGTTATAAATACACTTTGTAATCTATTTTAACAAAATAGGATAATTTTTTAAGTAATAGTTATTCATTTATAGTAAACACAGTAAAATTTAAAAAACACTTATTAATTTACTATTTGTAAACTTAAATTTATTAGTTTGAACTTTAAACTAATTAAACAGAAATAAGTTTCATATAAAATTGAATAAATTGGAATGTTATGAATTAAATATTTCAAGAATTTCATCAGTTTTCAAAGCAATTACCAATTTTTATAGCCATTAACGCAAGTATCCAAAAAATAACAGGATGTATAAATTGAAAGACTTCATAATATAGATGATAAAATTCTGTAAATAATACCTAAATTACTGATTTTGTTTATGAACCAACAAAGCATTTTATGCATTTACGATTGCTATTGTAAAAGAAATGGTGTCAACATAAATATATTTTTAAAAGATGTATATTCATAATATAATATATTATGTGAAATATATTTATACATAAGCATCAACAAGTTTCACTAATAATTTTGAAAAAATTTCGTATTCTTCATTTTTGAATTCAGATGGATCATGTCTAGCATGTTCGTATAGATCACAAAATTTATGTATTATATGCTGTCCATTTGAATGCAAAGTAGTCGATAATGTACTGATTAAAAACCCTCGTATATTTTCATTGGGATGCCGTTTATAAAAGTTTTCATGTTGTACAATTTGAAATTCTAAAATAATGGTAATAAGGATAATTTATTATTTCACATTTAATAAAAAATATTTACCTAGTAATTTAATATCATTCACAACTTTCAATCTATGAAAATGTGATGCTGGTTTACATGTACTATTTATCCTATGGATATAGCCATCAAGATGTGGTTCATATTGTATTCTTGGTATTACTTGTATTTTTCTATTAATTTCTTTTTTAAAAGACTAAAAATAGTTATAATTTTGGTAACAAATAACATTGTTTTTAATCATTTTATTTATTTTTAATTATGTTTAATTACATTCATTGTACAAAAGAAAAATAATTTATAAAATTATTTTACATATAAAAGTTAGGTCTTATACAATAAAAATATTTGTCAAATGATAAATAATGAATGATAAACAACAGATTATTAATATTAATATTATTAATATCATATATCTTAATAAATATATAGTTAGCAATTTTATATAATTATATATACTTTAAATTTTTCAAATTAATCAAACCACATTAAATATATTTGAAATAAAATGTAGTAATTATCAAAAATTTATTTATCAAATTATTATAAAAATACATAATTCTTCTAAAGTAAGTAAATAATCTATAAACAAATAATTAGAATTCAATTTAGAAAACAGATTAACATTAAATGTCTTGTTTACTTTTAATAATTTTAAAATTATTTCTGATTTATTAATTATATACAAATCATCTTATTTCTTTGACATTTCTATGAATCTTACTTTTTTAGTATCGTGTCCTATTGGAATATGTGGACCTTCTCTAGAACGTAAAGTGAATCGCATTATTTGTCTTTTAGCAAATATAAATAAAATTAAAACTGTTTGAATACCAGCAGCAATAAATAATATAATATTAACACCCGATAACTGCTGCAACATTATTGCCAAATAAATGTTTTTTAATATTGCAATAAATTAAAATAATTTCTATTACACTTTGTGACTTAATAACTAATTATAATATTATCTATGAAATATTTTCATGAAAATGTATAACTACAATTGTTATTAAATATACTATTTGATAACCTATAAGCGAACAAAATTTAAATACTTTTTATAATAAGAGTGAGAGGATACAATAATATTCAATGTTAACTATCTACACAATTTTGTTTTTATCTATAACATATGAGTATTTTATTAAAATTAAATTATTAAAATAATTTCCTTAAATTATTTATATTTTAGTTAGTACGGTGTCACACGTACTATAAAGATCACGTTAAAAATTGAAGTTGTTTAAAAAATTTAAATCTAATATCTAGTTTACATTCCATGTGTTATTTTCTAGTTACTGTATCAGATGTAATAATGACGCAATTTTTATTTTAAATTATGATAGGAACGTTGTCTGCAACTATACATATCATTTGAGGCATGCGCAATAGACAGCTACTTTCTTATATTTATATTCATAAATTATTTTATTCCATATGTTCGTAAAAAAAATATGTACCCTAGATAAATCGAATATATGCAACAAGAAACAATAAAAGTACATTGTAAAACTAGTTCAATATTATAAAGTTCATATTATTCCTGAATCGGTGTAGACTTTTTTACTAGAGAAAATAATAATATACATCCCAATATAACTCCAACAAATGTACAAGCTTTATCCTGGAAATTATCATATCATTTATATCAAACAGACTTTTAAAGACTGGTAAGAATTTTAGATCCAGTGTTTATGTGTAACAGAATGTAATTATAGGTAACTAAGTACTCAATATTCCAAACCTTAGAATCAATAAAGACCTGATCATAAAATATTAAAATCGAAAAAGTTGTAAATTTGTATATACTTAACTTTATAAGTCTACATAGTCATTAACAATATTTAATTTAACGTATATCTATTCATATATAAAGGATAAATAACATGCTTTAAAAAAGTATTGTATAAAATATCATTATATAAATAGTAGGTTATTTAAAGACAGAATATGACCACATAAAAAATTTGAAATAAAAATATTTCAATCAACTTAAAATATGTAAAATTATGTTCAATATCGACGTTTAAAGAATGACGAAATATAAATATAGACTATTTTTGTACTAAATTATAATTATAACTTTGTTTTCATATTTTCTTATAATGTATTTAAATGTATTGAAAAATATACCTATATTTAGTTTAATAATCTAAAGATCGATATTTACTATGAAGACTGAATATTGCTAAATTTTTATTTCCTGAGATTATTTTATTATTTTCATTGTAGTTTTACACTGATTGTTAAAGCATAAAAATTTTAATATATTTTTTGTTTCGTTCGTATATCTTTCAACGATTACAAGAATATATGTTCAATGTTTTTATTTGATTAAAAACTAATAATTTATCATTCATATAAGTAATGTAATACCATAATGAATAATAATTTTATATCAGAAATAGCGAAGTGCCATAAAAGTTCTAAAAGTTATCGGAGTGCTTGCGATGTGAAATTTGATTAAACTTTACCGTGCGTTACCACAGATAAAAATTGCTAAATAAAAATGATAGAAATTGTTATTTTTGAAAATGTGTAATATATAAAATGTATATTCTCAATAACAAAGTGAAACCAAGCGAAGTGACGTAATAAATTGTTGAGTACATAAACAAATTAGCATACTGAATATACCCTTCGTTTTTCAATTAATTTTTTTGTATTTGTAAAATTTAAAATATTTATATAATTTGGTTGATGATTTATTATCATGAAAATATTGCGACTGTGTATAAGAAGTATGTTATATGTTTTCCGTTAAATATAAAGTATGTGCATGTATTGACCGTTTACGAAATATAGAAAATACGTATTTTATATTGTGCGGAATTCCAGTCACCCATCATCGTGGTCGAAAGACCAAGATGGTTGGATTAGACCATATTTACCATTTTACTGGTGGAACAGTGCGAAAAAGTGACAGGTTAATGCTTCAATTCAGTAATCAACATAATTGTTTTTGGTGCTATTTTTTTAGTTTTGAATTACAAACATGTCATGGCATCTTCACTGAGAGAGTTAGGTTTGTCGCGTGTTTCCTTTAAATATGCGCACGGCAGATTACTTAGCTGACAACGAAGTATAGGTGTCGCTATGCCTAAAGTTTTGCATGACGTCAGAGATTACAGTTTTCGAACTTTCGAGAACTCCAGAAAAACAAGGCTCTACAAATTTAGTAGAATTCAAAACGACGTTGCTATTCCAAAACTAGATAAAGATTAGATTATGATCATAAGCAAAGGCTTTAAAATAATCGAGAAATTTCGGAGTCAATGTTTACGATTTCGCGAGCTAGAAAGATTACAAATTTCGGAAAATTTTCTTGGAAAGTACTCCAATCCTGAACATATATGTATGCAATAAATGTAAGAAATGCTTTCTAATATACTAGAATAATTAAAAATATTTTATATTCTTAGTTACAATTAATATTGCTTAGATTCAGACTATATTTTTAATGAATATCAGATGATCTATTCGGTCTAATTTTTTAATTAAATTTACTTTCGAATTAGATTTAGGCAACCATCAATTCAACAAATTTATTTAATGGATTAAGCATTTTTATAAGTGATAATCATTTGGATTCAAATGTTTTAATTAATATTCATTATTAGTATTCATAGTTATGGAGATTTATATTTTAAATACAGTTCTAAAATGATAATAGAAATATTTGCAACATTGATATTTGTCGAGATTTAAAAAAACTTTAGTTTTAAAATTCTGCATTTGACTTAGAAACTAACTTAAAAAAAGACATGTTTTTTTTTTGTAAAATCAATTAATTCTTTTGATTATTGGATGTTCATTAATTATATTATATTTGTTTATTTTCTTAATAATTTTCTTTATATTTTTTATTAAAAATAAATTATAATTATACTATCACAACACAAAATCATTAAATCTAATGATTTTATTGCGTATATTAGTGGACCATATGTAATGATAAATGTATTAGAGAAAAAATCAAAATAAAGCATAATCGTAAAATAAGAGCACATACCACAGTTTTCATTGTTAAATTATAACTTAAGAAATTCCATTATTTCCTCGAACGAAATACATTAATGTACTTAAATAACTAATTTATTTAAACTTTCAATATAAAATATTTGCTTATTTATCCTTTTCAATCGTTCATATAGTAAAAAAGTGATCAAAGATATATTTTTAGAAATATATCATTAGATATTTTCTTCTAATATCATTAGAAATTATTGCTTCCCCTATTTGGATAACAAACTCGTAGCAATAAGAAAATGTAAGTGTATGTATGTTAATCATATAAATTTAATTATTTTTATTGAAATTTCTTTATTACTCATTTATGAAAAAATTTTGAGATGTCAGGTACAAAAAAATGAATTTTTTTTTCATAAAGTAGATTATAGTGTTGATCGAGCAAAATAATATTTAGTTAAAATAAACTCTGATAAAGTGATTTATTAATTCATTATTTGGATTCTAGCAATCGAACAATTGAATAATAAATATAAATTAAAATAGCAGGTAATTGTTTAGAATTAATCAAAAGACCATTAGATGTTATATGGGAAAAATGCGTGGGCAAGTGGATGGATTAGTACATTGATTCAATAGTTACATATGCGTTTCTTGTTGCTGTTTATTCCGTCTCTTTTCCAAATATAGGGACGTTTATTGTTGATGAAATTATAGATAAACCTTGTTGCTCTGTGGTGGTTGGCACGGAGAAATGATGCAGTGTTATACCAAATGGCGCAAAGTAGGCGTCATGCAGGATGAGCATAAGCAAAATATCTCTAAGTAAGTGAGTCGTACGCGTGGGCACGAGCCTTGAAATAAAGTGAAAATCTCCTAAGCACAGGTTGTGCAAATAATAGGAAATTCTAGCTTATACTATCAATTGGCCTTGAGCTTTGAAGTATGCTGTGGTGCCTGATAACTGGATATATCGTGTGAGACTGGTGGCGAAGCACTTCGATTGAGAAGATTACTAGTGAAGCTTGTCAAGAGGGAAATTCCTTGAACTGTGAGTAGTGTGTCTTGGTGCGAATTGCTAATTCCTCTAAATAAGTGAGTCGTGCGCGTGGGCACAAGTCTTGAAATAGAGGAAAGATTTACACGAACATTACACTAAATGGTGCGAAGTAGGCATCATGTAGGATGAGCACGAGCGAAAATCTCCTTAGGCACAAACTGGCGACTGGAGAGACCTGTGTGAACTGATGGCAAAACACTTTATATTAAGAAGATTATTAACGAAGACTTTCTTCGGACTCAGCTGATATGACTTTTTCCTTTTCTTTCTCCTTACGAGAGGGTTTTAGTTGGATCGGCAAGGTGAGCGTTGAATGGCGCGATCATAGGCTTCGTGCACGTGGGGTACGAGCAAGTTCTCCTTTGGGCACAGACATTGAAATTAGTTAGGCTAATGTTGCGTTTACCTTTGAAACGACTTTGACCCTGAAGTATGCTTGGTGAATTAGCTCCTGGAGAGACTTTGGTTGGAAGATGGTGGCTATGGCGCCGTCAGTTGACGAGATTACAAATGAAGACACGACTTCCGACTCAGCTGAGGAAACTTCCCCCTTTCTTGGTGACTTCAACATGAATATTTGAATATTGTGTTTTTTCCTCTTAAATAGTTCACTGATCCTGGTGTCCATTTGTGATCTCTTCCTTTTTCTTGTATCCAATCGGACAGTTTACCGATTCATGGATGAGAGCAGCGCCTCTCGCGACATAGTCTTCAGTTAAGAAATTCATTCTTTTTGTTGCTCTCGAGCGAAGAAGAGCTCCATTACATTGGTATCGGCGGCTCTGGCAGCCACATGGTAGACTTGAATAAATGAGGAGGGACGAATTTATGTCGGTGGTTTTGAACGTTTGGATGCGGGTTGGACGACTGTCTTAAGAAAACTCTAACATCTGAGTTTTCCAGATGTTTTATGACTTGTTTTTTCAACATGTTTTATGATATCAATGACAGATATTTTATTAGCAAGTATTTTCAGGAGTCGAACGACTAATTAATTCTTTTGGGTACTAAAGATGTTTAAACGACTTAAAAATGTTCTCGCAATCTCGAACAGTAATATATTCAGATTTAGTATAAAATAAATTTTATAAAATATTAGATTTTTGAGTAATATTTCTCCAAGGAAATGATATGAAGTGTATTTATTAATTGTAAAACGTATCAGAATATGTAGATATATTAGTATTAAATTATATAATTGATTATTCACAATAAAAATATAAAAATTTGTATATATTAAATATATGTTTCATATTAAAAGTTATATACAGCTATTCTGAAAATAAATCGCATAAAAAAAATGTCAGACATTTTCGGAGTATAAATAATGAATAGATCGGCTATGAAAATTGTTTATCTTCGTCTAATAGGTTATTTATGTGTACTAGATTCTAAGAAAAAAATTTTATGGAATTATTTAGTTACTTATTTAATCTTTTTAATACGATTAAACAAAGTAATAAACATCATTGCGAGAAAATATTATTAAAATAATTTATATTTCTCAATCGTACTTACAATTCGGATATTAATTAATTTTGTATATTTATTTAGTTATTCCACATGCTTGTATATATCATTAAAACGTATTGATTTATTATTATTAAATTAAAGTACATTTATTTTACACACAAATTACACAACCTCAATGTCGCTATAAACTAGTGCCTACGATTATGTGAAATAAGTTTCAAATTAAATATTAAATTAAATATATATGTTTTATTATTAAATCGTTATTGAAAAAATATATTTTGTAATAAACACATTTAATTTTCAGAAAATTGAGTTACATAAAATCAGCTTGTTTCGGTATTTAAATAAAATTGTTTAATAATGACACGTTTAGAACATGTTCTTTACGATACTGTACTGAGAATTTTAAATACTTTAAAAGAATTTATTTTTATTTAAATTATATTTTATTAAATAGATGAAAATACAATTCTGTTTAAATAATTAATTTTTTAATGCAATATATAAAGTTATAGAAAATTTCATCAAAAATGAAACAGCAGAATCTTGTTCAATATAATTAGAATACTAGTCGCCTATAAAAACTTGATATAAAATTCTTGATAAAAATATTGATATCATATTTTAATAAAATATACAAATTATTACCATCTATACAGTATAAAATTGAAGATTTGTAAATGATTACTAATGTTCAGTAATATCTATATACCGAATATGCCTTATTTCATTAACATTAAGGTATATTTAAAAATTAACATTTTACTTCATAATATTCATATTTAAAAAGTTCTAGGATATCAAATACCAAAAGGTATGTTTACATAAAAATACTAGTCATTTTTAAATATAAATTTTTTTATATAATAAAATAAGATTATCGAAATATTAAGATTAATTTTTTTGTTGTATAATATAAATGCTTTTTAATACAATTTATAATATTTTAAATTTGTTTTCCAATGTTAATTTATATTTTCGAGACTTTTATTTTTAAAAAAGATATTGCCTACAAACATTTGCACCGCATTTACATTGAGTTCGAATATCGGAAATCTTGCCATTAATTGAATTTCCTAGTAATCCAAGCCTTTGACGCAAAAAATCATCTTTAGTTGATTGACATCTATAATCAAATGTAATTTCTTCATTTTGTTTAATATCTTTTGTAGCAAAAAGTGCAAGCTTTGGAAGATTTGGATCAAGACAATTTATCCAAACAGCGTAAACAGCTAAATTAGGATCACATGAATGATTAATAAAATGAGATACATTTCCGTAAATAGCAGCATCTACTGTATACGGACACTGTCCTTCTGTTTCATTATAGTCAAGATCAAAAAGATATGTTCTTCCCGCTGCATCATATTCCTTACCACGTTTTTCAGCTTCTTCATTTGTTATTACTTCACCGACATATTGAATAACAAAGGTTCCTTTCTTAATAACTCTTAATGTTTTTACACCCCAACCTCTTCCGTTTGATGTTCTAAAAACACACAATTTCATATGTGAACCTCGTTGAACAACACGATTCTGACAATTATGTGGACATCTACAGCGTTTATTACATTCGTATATAGGAGTACCAGGAGGAACACGAATTCTACAAGCAGAAGTATATGGAAAACTTCCATCACACAAAGCATAGCAACATTTTGTTTTTGAATCACAAGTAGAACATTCGCAACCTATTGGAGGTTCTTCTGGTATAATAACTCCTAGTCCAGGTAAATAATCATCTATATAAAGAAACTCTTGTGGAGCTCGTTCTAAGTCCACTATATTTTCTACTTTGATTGATGGTTTACCTTTAGTTATATTATTCATTTCATCTTCCCAGTCCTTTAATGATGCAAGCTGTTCCATTCTTGCGTTATATAAAAACATATGTGTAATATTTTCTTTAATTTTACCTATTAATTTTTTACATTTGTTCGGTTCAACATTAAAAAATGTGTCAATTTTATCATATAAGCAATCAATACTTATTAAAGAAGATTCAATATTTTTACCTTTATTAAGCAAATCTAACATATATTGTTCAAGCGTATTTGTATTAGGATAAAAATTTGTATGTTTTTGAAATCGTTCTAAAGATTTTAATCTTCCATCTTCAAAATCTTTCAATAACTCAGAACAATTTGTTAAATTTTCTAATGGTTCCCAAGTATTATATTCTACATTCCAATTTTTCCATTTAATCAAATAAAATATTACATTATTATCAATTTTTTTTCCTAGGACTTTTTCAACTTCATAAACATTTTTATTGGATAATTTAGATTTAGTATTTTTATATTGATTATTAATATCTTCTAATCGAATTTGTACTTCTTTCCATTGTATTTTATTGAATAAATTTAAACTATTAATTTTTTTATTACGTTCTTGTATAGACATTTTTAAAGTACTTGCAGTTATAGAAATATTATTCGAATCAAATATTTTTGCGTAATTTTGTAAATCTTTAGAAAAATTAAAAAGTTCATTTTTCGAAGATTTGTTAGCATAAATACTATTTTTTTGGCAAATACACTCGGTTCCTCTAAATTTTCTGTATTTCGTAAATGTAATCTCACTATCTGGAGAAACAGGTCTTTTTTCATTGACGACTGATATCATAGTTGTGCCCATTGAAATTTTTGTTTCTGTTTTAATTTGATTTTTATCAGGTATACAGATTTCTATAACAAAAAATATAATGAAGTTTTTATTTACAAACTATTAACAATTTCTTTTTAAGATTTCTTAATTCATGTTTCTATAAAAAAATTAAATATAATATAAAAAAGTTGAATTTTATTAGTATCCACGTTAAAATTGTATGCTTAATTATTTTTGAAATTTGAAATATATACATTTTTAACGCTATACAGAAATCAATTAAAACAGCTAGAAGGCAAATAAGCGTACAAAGAACAATTAGAAACATATGTAAAATCGTTTTTGAAAGGAAGCATATTTTAGTATGATTCCTTATTATAGATTTATCTGTAAATAAATTAAACCTACACCATAACCAAGCATTACTATAATATAAATGTTATTTAAGCAAGTTTACAGTCCAAAATGAAATACAGAAGCAATTTTACTTAAAAAAAATCTAACGATAATAATAAATTATATTGAAAAGAATGTTGCGGGAATAATCAGATTAATGCAGCTTTTATGTTACCTTTCCTTCAATGTTTCATTTTACTGACGAGAAAGCAATGTGTGAGCTCTTATGAAGTCTACTTTATGAAGTAAAAAGTTAGTTTGCAAATAATGTATAAAAAAATATTTCAAAGTATATACTAAAAAAAAGACTAAGAAATATACTTAAAATCAAAGAATTCTATAAAAAAATTTTAATCCTCATATTAATTCTTCAAATCAAAATAATAATTATAGTATAGAACACATCGCATCCAATTAAACTTCAAACGAATGTATTCTTTGCCTTTGTCATAACTATTAATACCGAAACTCTATAGCAATTAAGTGATAAATTTATAGTGTAATGTGTCTTTACAGATTTTTATTTTAAACAGGTTAATTTAAGAATATCTAAGAATAGAATAACTAACTTTTTTAATCACTATACATATTGAACATATTTTCAAATAGCTTGATGTTGATTTAATTTATGTTAAATCTACATTCAATTTCGTAAAACAAGTAATTATTTTATACAACCGTTTAATTAATTTAGACATAGTACGTTAAAAGTGATTGAACTTCTATAAATAAATTAATGATATCGTAACATTATTTATTAATATAAAATTAAAATATTAATTTTTGATGAAACATAGTCTTAATTGACCAATCATTTTAATATATTTATTTTTTTAATAGTTAATAATTAAAATATTGCCTGTAAAAATTTAGTGTTGAAAACAGTAACATTAATTTAGGATGTAATTTTTTGTTGAAAATTTTAAGTTAAAATGAAATTTTCAAATATTTAGTTCTATATAATAAAATTATTTATATAAATAAAATAATAACAATTATGTACGGTGCGTGTCCATGAAGTAGTAATTTTCACCTTATCAAGTATATGTTAAAACATGTACATATCTTCAATTCAAATACTTATATATATATATGGTATTGTTTTCCATCTAAGTATATCTAGTATTTTAGGCATATACATTCCCATTCATAATAAAAATAAAAATATAAACAATAGAAAATTTTGTTAAAAAATTCATTATTGATATATCTGTAAAATCATCCTAATGTATTTGATAATTTATTTTTTTTAAATTGGAGAATAAGTAAAAACATTTTTAAAAGAATATGTGAATGAACGAATACTTTCTAATTTGTATAACCGACTAATATTATAATTAAAACTAAATAAATAAATGAAATTATCATTTAAAATATTTATATTGTTTTTATTTTTTTATAAGTTATTTATTTAATCTTATTTAACAATCGATAATATTAATTTTATAAGTACATGGCAAATTATTTAATTTAAAATGATGGCAAATATATGATTTATATATCACTACAATTATAGGTGGTTATGAAACAAAACTGAAGCAACGCAAATTAAATATTACTTTGCTTCAGATATTTTAAAATTTGTACAATCTACATATTTAATCAATCATATATGTCAATATCTATATTTTTTTACTAGGTATAATTTTTAGGTTAAATGATTTTCAAATTATTAAAATAGTTTCGTTTATGGCTATTATATTCATAGTAATTACAATTTTCTTTGTGGTTTTATAAATTGTCAATACTTATAATGCGATCTTTACTTTTACAAAATATATTAATATTTATTAATATTTGATAACATTTCAAAGTTTTTTTTTATATAATAGAATATATATAACTTGAAGTTACGTCATTTAATAAATAAGGAGTTTAATCAAAATTATGTAATACAATATGTTGATAATAATGAAGTAATCATTGTTCAAACATGGTGTAATAAAGATATTTTTAAACAATAAATGATTTGCTTGTTTAATAAAATATACTAAATATTTAATATATTTAGAAATATTAAATATATTATTTAATTTATTATATTAATTTATATATTAATTGTTTAACAATTAAAATTAACAAAATTTTACTTTAGTTGTATGGTGTTTTATGCATCATTAAATGGTATTTATAAAAAAATACCAGTTTATTTTTAGCTGTTATAGACTACAATTTTATTTATAAATTAAATATAGAAAGTATAAATTACTTTATTTATAATATTAAATATAAGTAAATATAATATTTACAATAATCTAAATATATAATTTATTTATACCTGTTTGGTAAATAGAATATTATATAAATCAGAATCTAAATAAACAAAATATAAATTACTGATAATAAATAACACATTCATTTAATAATTTGTAAATATATTAATTCTTTTATATTAATACTTCAAATTATGAAAACATACCGATTACACATTTGTAATTGTATTATACATATCACATATATAGTTACTAGAGACTTTAAAAATGAATGAACATTAAACGTTATGTACAAAAATATAATACATACTACATATAAATATACTTTTTCAAACATTGTTCAATAGCAAATCAATCGAACTCTCACCAGATGTCCAAAGAACATTTATTGGACGACCAGTTTCTGCAATCATTATAATCTGATGGGAAAATATAAACAAGGAACCGCAAACAGGAGCTGTAATATTAATTATAAAATTGATTTCAATGTATTGGTAGTATTTTAAAAACTTATTAATTACGTTTCTTTTTTTGTTTTTTAACTGTGATTATACATGTGTATAAATACAGTCCTATGCATATTAAAGATGAGACGGAATTTTATGAATACATATTGAATTTTTGTAATTAGAAAAATATAGAGCATATAAAATATTCACTAGTTGCAAATTGTAAAGCAATTTTAAAATAAAAATTAAATAAAAAATAAAAAAACTTTAAAATAAAGCATTTTTTTAAAAACATTTACAAACATAACGATCAATTTCTATTGACATAAAGCTACTTTTGCAATAATTCGTAGAAGAAATTGAATCAATTCTAAGTGCCAGTAATTGATTAAATTAAAATCTGACTGATAGCTAGCATTTACTTTTCGAATTTACTTACAAACTCATTTTGTGTACTACTTCTTAACTTACAAATTTATTTTTATACATTTTCTGAAACTATAATCAAAGATTTTTTATTTTATTTGAATTTAATGATTTTATTATTAATTAATCTATGAATTAATTGACATTTACTATTTTTATCAGTAAAATAATATATTTCAGTAAAGGAAACTATGTATCTGAAAATTGTTAACTTATAAAAAAATTATTTTATAACAAGCAATTCCCATGAAACTAGCTTTATAAATACACCATAAATTAATAACTGAAAAAATATACACGATATCTTCAATAAAAATATATTTTTATCTATCAAATATTTTTAAAGTACATAATGCAGTAAATATAAATATTGGTCGATAATCTTTTCATTTTTTAGAGTCTATAAAAAACTGTATTGTGCATTATTGTAGTATAATCTATCTTCTTTTTAAACTGCTTTAAAGCTAGCATAATAGTTTAAACTGTATATGAAATTCTACTATTTTAATAGACAAAAATATTTTAATACCAAATATACATATACGATTTTTTATTTTTAGTTTGACTTAAATTTAAAAATTATAAGTTTGAAAAATTTGTCATTGTTACATTTTATTATCATTTGATTAACTTTACTTGAGCATAATTTTTTTAGTTACTTGACAATATTCTTGCACTTGTTTGATAAAAGTAAATCAAAATAACAGGCTTAAGATTACTTTTATGTCTATGCTTTGTTTTGTGAAAGCAAAGTATTAAAAGAACATCTAATTACTAAAAGTACAAACGTCAAATAATAATTTGTAGCAATTAATTTTCTCATATATATATGTTGAGAATGGTCATGTAAATAAGTGATCTAATATTAAAATAGTCTAGCATTTTAGTTGATTTTTTCAAGACTTTTCCTCTATATATCGAGTGTGATGTCTTTTCCTCTAGATATTGGGCGTGAGATATTTTCCATTATATGAATAAATTACAATACATACAGTTAATATTTTGTTGGCTATATAATTGTGAAAAATGTCAGGTAAGTAGTATTCACACAAATGTTAAAATACTTATAACGAGGTGTATTTCAAGCAAATATTTAACATTTATAAGACAAAAAAGAGATAAATAACTCTTTATAGTAATATAGACATTATAAAAAACATTTCTTCATATTTAGAATTTTGACTAATTTTCATTCTTATGATTCTTAAATATAAAAAACCATCTTGGTAACTTTTTTAATCAACTAGTCTATCTTCTATTTAATTCTTCCTCGATAGAAGATCAAGTTAAATTTTTGTATCATCAGCAGTCAGATTCATTAAATATATGTTTTTCATTCACTAATTATTGCTGTTCTGAACCTATTACACAAGATCTAAATTTAATGGTAGTTCTTTTTTAACACCAAAAGTAGACTATAAAGTTTTAAAGTTTTAAAAATTAGTAATACAGATAATAAAATATAAAATATATCTTGAAATACCTTGTATGATTTTATCTTTCTACATAATTAATCATGAACTTTGGTTACATTGCAATGTTACCTTTTAGTTTACTTTTATTTATAAATATTAAATAAATTTTAATTTCGTAATTAAATATATATATTTTTATAATATAGATTTGCTACTTCTAAAGTTTTACAATGTATACTTTTTATTAACAAATTTCTAAGGCTTTCTTATTTTATTTTCATAATTATATTCGAAGTGTACTATACACAATTTGATAATAAGACAATATTGTATAAGAACTTGCTACATTCATTGATTCTTCTTTTAACGATTATGAAAATAGAAAGGAAACTTTGAGAGTATTTGGCTATAGTGTTAGTATTTTAATTTGACAAAAGAGGATAGCACAGTATTATGCCATTGTATCGGTGACAAATTTTTTCTCCAATGTTCTTGTTGCATCTTATGTTTTCTCAATTGAAATAAGATAAAAAATCATTGATATTTTTATTACCAATTGATTATAGTTTCCCAAAAAGAACAAAAATGTTAAATAACAGTTGTTCTTTTTATTATATATAAAAAAAGATTCAATAATTTCAAAAATATATGAACATTCTTATTAATTTCACTTTTTCTGTTTAAATAAATACATTTATGAATAAGAATAAATTTATTTACTTTTAATATTAATTATATAATCTACATAACATCTTTTCAGTAATTAAAAAAAAAAAGAGATATATAATCGATAAAAAGAGTATTCAAGATGTATGATGACCAACAAATAACAATATCTAAAAAAATTATGTCAACAAGTGTTTTTGAATTAAAAAAAAAAAAAAAATTATGAAAATGATGCATACAAAAGATATACATAAACATTCAAATGTAAAATGTAGTCAAACTTCAAATCATACAAATCTATTAAATATTCCTAAAAAAGATTACTACATTTGCTAGCAATTGAGGAAATTACTCTTTTTGTTAATAAATGTAATCAAGGATGAAATGGAGATTGCATGCTACCAGAACATTGTAATGTGACAATTTCAATTAACTATCGATTTATTATTTTCAATTACGAGAAAATAACTCACAAATAGCTGATCATCATTGAAAGAATTCAATCAGTTATTGTCTTCTAGAAAGTTACAATCTTTCACCTTTTTTGTGTTTTTTGTGCAGTGCTCTGTTTTTTAATACCAACTATTCAAGTATCAATGTATAATTTGTTTTACATTTCTAAACAAAAATAACAAAGGCAGGTTAAGACAAAATATAAATAACAGCTTGTTTATTGATGGGTATGAAATTGAATTTAACTTTCTATGTAATACAATATATTTATATAACAGTTATTTTGTACAAGATAAAAAAACCTATTATTGAAAAATATTATTATATATAAAAATATTTACTACAAAATTTATTGACTAAAAATAACTAAATTTATTAAATAGAATCACATACAATATTAATCTAATATTTATAAATTCTTATTATTTGAATAATTAATTCAAATTAATAGTTTTAATAAAATAAATTATAATAAAAGTCATATCAGTTTATAAGCTTTAGCTTATTTATTTGAGATAATATAATTATGTTAAATGAAAGTATAATACATTTAATATTCTTAAGTTTGAATATATATAAATGATTTACTCTTTAATGAAAAGATGAATTGAAGTTATTAAAATAAATTACAATTATTTCATATATCATTTACAAGATAAATACAAATATGTATTTATATATAAATTACTAATTATTTTGAGTATTCATGTATTAAAAAGAATATATCGAAGAATTAAAACATATTTAATTAACATTAAAAGTTAGGTTAGCAAAATATAATTGTCATTATTCAAATAGATTTTATTTTTTTATACTACTGAAAAGTTCTATGTACAATAATGTTTTTATAATTTAGAACTATTAATTTAAAGTCAACATAGTTTATAATGAAGCTACTTAAAAATATTTATTTCATTAATTACATTTTATTGCTAAAATATATATTTGAATGTTATATTTTTAATGAAAGTACTACTCTTGTATATACATAATTAATGATTTACAAATTTATTTTTAAATTATAATTAAATTATTTGTTTCTATTATTATAGAAATTACAAAATATTCAATAATTTGTTTAGATATTATTACTTTATATTATTACTTATTTATACATTTATATTATTTGTAATATATAATTTAATATATTATTATTATTTTCAGTCTATTACTTTTTTTACATTAATTAAAAACTATTTAATTTTTTATTAAATTATATATTAAATAGTAAAATTGTTAATATAGAAAAAATTGTATTTAATAAAAAAAACTAAATATATGTATGATGGTAAATTAATTTCAGCTATATTATATCGATGCTTATTTTTTTCATAGATTTATTATAGTAAAAACATTACATGTATAAATTAAGTAAAACTCAATTACATTGTAACATCTCAATAGTTACCTACCACTTACCAATTGGGGTATATCCTGTCTGAATATCATTGATTTTTTTACAATTTTATCTGAAGTTTGTTTGACGCCCATTATTGTTATTTTAAATACTTGGGAAATACAACGTATAATGACAGACATAAATAATAAAATAATTATGCATTTGTAAATACGCGCGCGCGCACGCGCGCGTAAGCATGCAAGCACATTGACAGTAATAATAAAAATATTTTTATAAATAAATAAAATATTCAATTTTAAATACAACAAAGTGATTATAAAAATTTAAAGGTTAACTATAACTACTTTCTCGTTTACCGCTTCGTGCGCAACCTGTGCTTTAACAGTATATATAGAAGCTATACCGGCTGCATTTGATTTCTTTATCAATTTCTTTTTTAATTTAAAAAATAAATAATTTTATATAAATACTTTTATATCAATTTACACTGATAGCTCTTTTAAATACATATTTAACACTAATTGCTCTATTATAATTAAGAATGCAACAAATTTTATAATAGTTTTTTATTTTTATATATGAAGATCTTTAATCATTTTATTATTGAAATGAAAAAATGTAATATAAAAATTTCTTAATTATATATTTTCTGATAAAATAATCAAAAAATAATTAATTTTCTAAGTTAATAATTCAAAGCAAACCCACATTTATTTAGCAAAATTCATTTGTTTTAAAACAACAGCATATTTTGATAAGTCGGTTTCTTACCAATGTTTTAATATAGGTTTACTGACTATAGAAACATAATGTATATTTTGAAAACTAAAAATAAAAAATTACATAATTGCGTTTATTTTATTCTAAGTAAATAAATTATAATTTTAAATATTGTGTATTTAATTTAAATTTATATATTTCTTAATTTAAAAAAATTGAAAACAAATTGAATAAAAATATCGATTTTAATTTAAGATGAATCTGGAAATATATTATCAAATAATCGTAATTAAAAGAAAGTAATAAGAATATGAATCATAATAAAAAAATTAATTATATAAAATAAATTTGTATTATTATATTTATATTTTACAGTTTTAAAAGTTAACAAGTTTTTTTCACGCGCACTATAATTTAAGCTAATGAATTGGCAACAACATAGTCAAAATAATGAATTGATAAAAATTAAGAATAATAAAAAGATACTCAAGATCCTGGTATTTAAATATTTTAATTAAATAAAAATGAGTGTAAATGAAACTGCTATTGTTACAGTTTTATAATCAATATAGTCTATAAATTACTTTAGTTCGTTTACTTTAAATTACTTGCAGTTCGTTTTAGCTTTTTACAGTTTTACTAAAGCATTTTAAAATTTTATGTTTTCAAATCATTCCCGCGTAATTTATATATCTTATAGATCCTTCGCACTGCATAAAGAAATTTTATTAATTTTATTAAATTGAACTACTTTTCTTTTACTTTTTTCTTATTTTTAAATTAATGTAGAAATCAACTAATGAAATATTTAACAGTTCCATTTTCAATTGTTTTTATTTATTATTCTTAATTCTGTAGTTAAAAATTATTTCTTGTTTTGTTTCTTAGAAGTACTATATTTTTAAACTATTCTTATAATTACTTGTATACAAGAAATCCCATGATTATTGAACTCAATAAATAATAGTTATTTATTCCATGCATTATTTTGATAAGCTAGTGGTTTCTTGAGAAATTGTACATGCAGTTGAAAATGCCTCTTTTCCATTTATGTATTTATATGTATTTTTATTTAATTTCATATATAAGAATATTTTAAGATGTTATTTTTATTTATATATATATCTTAATCAATACAAATTTCTTTTAAATTACCTCATTTTACCATTTTACTTCATGATTTAACATTTTGAGTAATATAAATGTAAACATGTTTTATAGTCATCTAATCTCATTTTTTTTATTGAAATAATTTTTAGTATATGTACTCAACTTGAATGATAATGTAACTTTATAAAATAATATCGTTGAAATTCTTTTGAGATATTCAGTCTCATCTTACTATCTCATATTGTACATATAATGTAGATTAAATACATTTAAAAATAAAATACATTTTCACTTATGATAACAGTGATCCTGCTTATATTTTATATTTACATGAATATTTTAAATAAATAAATCTTTATAAATTTATTGGTTAAAATTAAAGTAAAATCGTATGTGAATTCATTAATTTTTTTCATCTGATCGTATATCTTTTATATTGTAATAATTCTAGGAAATCTAAAAACTACTTTTTTCAAAAAAAGGAATATCATTTTATATTCACCTGTTCAGAATCATTCATACTTATAAACATTGGTAAACTATCAGTAAATAATATTGTACTAAACATGCTGAAAATTGGTAAGTACATCATTAAAAGCAAATATGTTTAGTTCTAAATTTTGCATAACTCATGAATGATTTTGTCTACAAAAATCAGTTAACACAAGTAGTGCAAATATATAAGGTTTTGTTAAATTCACAATCTGGAAAGTACTAAACTGGTATAATTTAAAATTAAATATGTAAATTAAATTAATTTGATCTATTAATATTTATAAGTAAAATATTAGGACATTAAAAAAAATTATAAATTACACAACAAATTTTATTTTATCAATTATATTTAAAAAACATTGAAATTTTTAAAAATAAATGGTTTCATTGGAACAATCAAAATGTAAATGTTATAATTCTTAACAATTATTTAGCGATTTATTTAATACTAGCTTTGGTAGAGTATTTAAAAATAGCTGTTTAATTATTTTCACTTAGTATAATAGTTTCTTGGTATATTGTTAATTCAAGTTTCTAAAAATTAAATCTTAGTATCAACAAAATTAAGTCTTTTTTAATTTTTTTAAAGAAAATTCATGTTTATAAATCTGTAGCTTAGCAACCAAATGTGTATACAAATTATTTTAATGTATTTTCATTAGCTATTAAACTTGATATTGAATAATTAAAATGGTTGAAAATGTAAAACCTGAAGTGATTAAAAAAACTCAAGATTTACTTATGCCATATTTTAATAAGCCTCCATTAACAGTGAAATTACTAAAGAAACCACCATTTCGATTTCTTCAAGATATAATTTTATCTGTAATTTTAAATTACGTTTAACACCAATAATTCTATTTTTATAATGTTTTTTTTAAATTTTGTATTCTTTTGTTCAGGTAATAAAAACAACTGGATTCTTAAATGGTGTATTCACAGATGAAGAATTAAATCCAGATAATGTGAAAAACAGAAATATGAAAATTAATTTTTTAAATAAATTGATTTATGTTGTAGGTGAGTGTAATAATTTAGTATGTGATTCCTACTCTTCTTAAAATTTTAAATATATTCATTATATGCTTGAATAAAAATATATTTTAAATTGATTAGAATCTACTACTGGAAATCATTTGTCTATAAAAACTAGTAAAATAATTGCTGGCTTAGAACCAACAAAAACAAATGAACTTTTACAATTAATTGGTAAAGCTATACAACAGCAAGTAAGTATATTAGTTAAATTTTCATACTCAATTATAAACTATTATTCTAACTTATTAATTATTTTATGTAATATTTTATAAAATTTTATATATAAGTTTTTATATATTATTATTAAAATTGAAATATTTATTTATTAATAATTAAGTTTAATGAAAAAATAATTAAGCATTAGATATGCCAATATTGAAATATAAATATTTAAATTATTTATGAATATCTAATTAAATTGAAATATTAAACTATTATTTTGAAAAAACCTTTTGATTGTAAATGAAAAATAGACAATTCTTTTAAATCTAAATACAGAATAAGATAGTTATTTGATTTATATAAGGAAAATATTTTGTAATTCAAGCTTTTGTAATTATGGAATTATGAAGGCATAAAAAAATATTTTGATTTTTATGTATACATTTGTATGTGTCTATTAAAATATATAAAGATTTATAAAGTATGATAAATTTTTATATGAAATTAATTTCTTAATTCGAGTACTGAAACGTACATTATTATTGATATTTATAAAGGTTTACTTCAATATATTAACTTATCAACTAAAGTACGTTTTCAGTATTTTTGAGGGTAGTGCTTTTTTTTAAAAAGCAATTTTTAATAATGAATATTTTATTACAATTAAATATATTTATATATAGCTATATATGTGTGTGTTTGTATCTGTCTATACGTGTTTGTTTATTTTTCTTTAAGAAAAATTTCACTCTTAGTATTGTTCAATCCTATTACTTTGAATTATATATATAATTACTAAAAAATATATATATATATTTAAATTTGGTTTCAACTTTAATCACTAAAATTTAGAATTCAATGGTTTAATTATTTTATATATTTTAACTAATATTTTCAAAGTTTTGGATAAGAATCATCTTTCGTATTTTAAGTATCAAACTGATTTTTGCTTTCATTAGTATTACAATCAAAGAACCTTTTCAATATTAGTTTCTGTTCAGTAGTAGTTTATCATTAATATCTGTAAAACAGGACAATATTTGCTGAAATATGATTATTAAGGTTTATCAGATGCTCACTGTTCAATGTATAAGATCATTACAATTAACAAAAGTACTATATAGTTAACTTTTATAATAAAATAAAGCAGGGTCTCTATCAAACAAATGTACATTTTTATTATATCTTTGTAGTGAAAATGTGTACTATCATTGAAAATTGTATATCTATTTATTTTTTATTATATATTACTATTAATATATACAATCATTAAAAATTATTTTTAATTAAATGTAGCAACTTAAAATAAACTATATTTTTTATAATTTCTTACTTGATATATAAATAAATTATTATAACTGACTATTCATTTAGTATGTATCAATTGAATTATCATTTGAGTATAAATTAAAATATTAGTTCAATAAATAAGGGAAATCAATATTTATATCCTTTAATATGCATTTTTAATGATTATTAGGATTTTTAAATATCTGGGACTGTATTAAGTGACAACTTTTGTAGGATAATTTGTGTAAAGCATATTAAGATTTCTAGTAATTATATTAATGATATTATTTTAATTTTTAGCATTACTTTATTTATGTAACAATGTTAATGAAAAACATTTAAATCCAATTGTTCGAAGATTGAGGTTTGTTTTGTGGTTGGAACTGCCAATTCAATAGTTCAATGGGTTAGTCTCTCGTCGTAGCGATTAGTAGGAAAAACCACAAGTGGAAGGACTGAAAATATGTACAATGTATATTTTTGAATTAAGACATCGTTTATTGTGGTTTATTAATAATTACAGTATTGCAGTTTTACGATTGCTTAAGGCGAGAGAGAGGAAATAATTCTATTGCAGTGGTATCGTTGCTTCGTCGTGATGGTGGCAATGTTGTTGATGTTATGGAGATTGGTAAGGATGTTGAATATTGGGTCTGTTTGAGAATAAGAGACTCCGTTTAGTAAGGCAATAAAATATCTGACAAGTAATGTCATGTAAATGGTATTTAAGACTTCAAAACTTTCCTGCTCATAATTATTTGTACTAGTGTCATAAAACATCTGGAAAACTCTAGCGGAACGTGCTCATACTCCCAGTGCAGTAGAACCTAATGGGTTTACTGCCGCGAGAACCCCAAAGTAGATTCAGAACGAATATCAGATATGCGTGAAGCATTGAGTACAAATATTTACTGCAACCGAAAACCCGTACGTACTACACATGCAATGACCATACGTGCGCACTCGGCCTTTAAGACAATGCTTGCATTGTTCTTGGCTATGCCACATCTGGTCGATCGTATTGGAAAATTGACCACGCCCAAGCGGACCCTGCTTCTAGCCAAGTCCCAGAGAGGGATGAGGCAACCAAAGAGAGGTGACCAATGAAAAAGGCTCGCCACCTTCCGACACTTTCCCAATTAGCAAATTCGGAACTGAGCCCGGAAGGAAGTGGAAATGAAGGCGTGCATAATCTATTGTGCGACCCAAGATCAACCACTGATTGGTTAATTAATAAAGGAAGAAGGGATCCCAAGTGGAGCGGGATCAGTGAACCATTTAAGAAGGGACTACGTAATGTACCCGCACTTACTCTTTCCAAATACTTCTTACAGTGAAGGATAAGTCACGACCAACTCTCACGGAGGAGGACCGGAGAGATGAGTCGTTTAGCTAGCTGAGTTTTAATAATAAGTTCTTTCCACTATTGTGAATTAGTGTACAGTTGAATTGATCTCATCAAGACTGGATTGCGTGGGACCTGACCACTTGTGGTCTCACTTGGAGACAAGGAAGAACTGAAGGGTTGCAACATTGCAAGGGAACGTAATAACAAGCCATCGAAGAGAGACTGGAAAATCACGATACACTGCAAGTAAGTCCTTACAGCTAGTACTCATTCTTGATTTCTCGGCTTATGTAGAAGACGGACGGATAAAGTCCAACTACGGAAGCTTCCCGGACATACTCTTGAACAAGACCAGCTATAAACGCCACATTGGCTTCGCAATCCCTCCAACTGCAAGTTGTTCCAGCCACAGATGGCGCACAGCTTCGCATAACCTCCATCTCGGCTCTCTTACGACCGATATTTAAAGGCAACTACACACGTGTTAAGATAAACACAATGGCATTCCAGTGTTCGATCAGAGCACTACAATCATGATAACCTCTTAGCGATAATATTCAATAGATTATAACCTGCTTCATTCATAGTAAATATATTTCAACACCACAAGATTATCAAGAAATATAAAGTTCGTCTGTAATTCACCCTTTTGTAAATCAATTCAAATAAATAGAAATAATAAAGACATGTGTTAATTATTAATCAGTGCATTCACCCTTTACTTGCCCGGCAACCCCACATAACATCTAGTGGGTTTTGGGTCTATGCTAATGTTGTAAAGATCAGTATAAGCAGTCGACCATGCTCATAAGGTGAGCATGGGTAGATGGTAATGGTAATCAGTAGTGCTTAGCAGGGAGAGTAAACATACTCAAACAGACACATGCAAGAACAATAATGAACAATAATGATATGATATAATAATGATAATAAGCCTTCAAGTACGGAAGGACTTGGTACAATGTACTTATAGTCGACTATTTGATAAACTGCAGTCTGCCTTTGACAATGATTGAAAAGGCGCCTGGAGAGGTGACAAACGTTCTCCGGTAAGAAGGCACTGAGAGAGTGTATTACGTTACTTTCTTGGCAGACTTTATATGAAACGTGATTCGAGCGTGGATGACTAGCTTGTACAAATAATAAAATGGATGTACCTTATGTACTACCGACATGGCCTGCTGAATGACTGCGATGCTGACGCACTTTATTGATTACAATTCTGATGGCTTCACTGTTGACTTACTAACCTGTTATTGCAGATTCTGGTAAAATAATACACGTATAATAGGCTGATTGCCAAGCATGCGCCTAAGTTTCGTAGTCGCAAGTTATAACTGATACTTGATTAACTGAAAAATGCCGTGCACAATAACAGATGAATGAACGATGGGTAGAGTTACAGTGACCCTCGGTGCGTGGCGAGCTGCTCTTAAACATTCACCTAGCAGCTTACGACGCCGGCAACAGCGCTAATGCTTGTTGCTATGCTGAAAATCTTAGTAACGTCAGAAAACAAAGCTCTGGAATATTCTAGAAGCATCGAATGACACAGCCTTGGTAGGTTCTAAAAGTTTCATCGGCGTTGCTATGCGGAAATGTAGTATATTTGAATTTAAGGCGTAGGAAAATTCCCGAATTCGCTAAATCATCTTTACAAACATGAGTGTTTGAGAACTTGTAATTTTCCCAATTTTAAATTCGTGAAGATTGCTTCAATCCCGAACACCAACAAAAACCAACTCATTGTACATTAATTAAAATATATGTTTTAAACAGTTTTGAGAGATTATCATAGATAACTGCATTTAAAAATAATAGTACCCATGGATTGCACGTCTATAATATAACAAATTTGCTATTATTACTGAAAAAACATGGTAAATTAAATGGTGAAATGATTTTTCAATTCAATATGAAAAATAAAAAATCATTAAAATATAATAACAATGACACTTTAATATATTTTACATTAAAAACTCTAATAATAGATTTTGAGTAGATTAAAATGCATTAAATTAAAGTCAATTAGAAAACTTTTACCGTTATTTTCCATGAAATATAATTATAGAAAAAGCAGTAATCATTAATTGTTTATAAACAACTGAATCGCACGCTCATACCTCTCCTACTTTTGTAAATCTGTAACATTTCCAAAATGTAAAAATATAGCAATTTTTGTAGCTTATATAATTGTGATCTAGAAACAAAAATATAGACGTAACTATTTTATATATATCACTGATTCAAAGTAGTTAGTGATTAAGTATACAACAAGAACTAAAAATTTTAATTAAATCGTAAACTGTTTTTTCTGAGATAGGTTTATTTATACTGAAAAATGACTGCATGATAAATAAATCTTTAATATTAGCTAAGAAAAAATGTACTTGTGTTCGAAAAGCCCGGTTATCCGTCTCGAAGGACCAAATGTTCGAAAGGCCGGATATCTGGCGTTCAGGATTGAACTACCCAAAAATAAAAAATTTATTGCTTTATTTTACATTCATATTTAATATAATGCGTAATATTTGAAGTAATCGCTACGAAAATTCTCGATGAAATTTAAGCCTTATGCTGTGTCCGCATAGCAACAAAGGAAGATTCTCGAATCTACTAAAGCTTGCTTTCCGAGAATTTGACAGAATTTCCAAGAGTTACAAACTATAAATGTACGCAATTATATATAAGGAGGAACGGACGACGAAGAGAAATCAGTCTTGTTGAGTAAGTCAAAGTGAAAATAGTGCAAGTCATAACAGTTAAAGTTCTACACGTCCGTCTACGAGAATCTGCAAGATATACTCATTGTATACATTATTTATTATCTATTGCTGGCCAGCTATCAGTGCGCCCTCCGCAACGTGACTCTAGTCAGACCGCATTGAGGGCGACGACACAGACTGGCATCTCCAGTAAACTATTTGTGTATTACATATTATTATTACGGCTCAGTGTCGACACTATCGGTCAGGCCGATCGGCCGATTCTTATAACGATCGGTAACAACCACTACCAATATAACATAACCTTAAATAAAAGTCACTAATACCAATTGTATTGACACTGAATCTATGCGTTAACCTCCCCCCCCCCATCGCCATTAAGCCGGTGGTACGGTCTAATCCAACTATCTTGGTCTTCGGACCATTTTGGTGGCTGGTATTTCAAACAGGCTCAAAGCACCAAAATTTCGAAAATCCGGCTCGAAGGACCAAATGTTCGAAAGTCCGGATAGAAGAACTGAATGTTCGAAAGTTTAGTTTGCAGCTCGAACTGCCAAATTCAATAGTTCAGTTTATTACTCTCTCGCCATAGCGATGCTTAGGAAAGGACACATGTGGAAGGGTTGTAAATATGTATAGTGTATAACTTCGTTTTAAGACATCGTTTATTCCGTTTTATTAACAATTACAATATTGTAGTTCTACGTTCACTTCTTGTGGGAGAGAGCGAATTATTCTATTACAATGATGTGGTTGCTTCTTGGCGGGAATGTCGTTGATGATGTTATGGGGATCAGCAATGGATTTTGTATATTCCTTGAAGGGGAATGTGGCTTATTAGGTTCCATGCTGACGTTGTATAGATCAGCAAGAATAATCAACCATGTTCATCAGGTGAGCATGGGAAGATGATAGTGGTAGTTAGCAGTGAGAATCGACCATGCTTATAAGGGGACTATGGTAATGTCTCTGCGGTAGTTAGCAGAGAGAATCGACCATGCTCATGAAGGGAGTATGGGAATGTCTTTAGAACAATCGACCATACCCATAAGGAGAGTATAGGAATATGTGTGTGCTAGTTATTCGCAATAAAGATAGATGATATATCTTTGGGAGTAGAAGGATCAAATACCATGCTTTGTGTAGTCGATAATTTTCTGCATTGGAGCAGTGAACGAGCATTCCTTGCAATAGCTGTGCTGAATGAGCGTGTATTGCTTGATCTTTTCGTGGCAAAGACTCCATGTGATAGCGTGGCATGGGCGTAGGTGACTGGTTTGGATGAATAACTGAATACTGACACTTTATAACTACCGACACTACGTACTGGATGACTGCTTTATGTTAACTACATGGAGTCTTATCACGCGCTTTCCTAAGTATCTGCGCGGCAACTAGCTCTATCTCGAAACGAGCTTTTAGCTAGTTAAGAATTCGGCGAAAGCAAACGTAATCGTTCGAGGCTAAGCAGCCTTGGGAAACAATCGAGAATCTAAGCATTAAGCTAGTCGAGAATTCGGCGAAAGTAAATCTTAGAAGATTCGAGAATTCAATCGACGTTGATATGCGAAGGCTAGACAGCCTTGTAGAACGTTCGAGAATTCTGCTTTTGGATAATTGCGAAATCGTTGTGAGAAAATATAAGCATTCAGAGAACCGAAAGCCTCGAATAAAATGCTCCAATTCCGAGCAACTTGATAGGTACCAATTATTTACATTTTAGTGTTTGTTAAAATATTAATTATATATAGTATGTCCATATAATTATATTATGTAGAAAAATATTGATAAAAGGTAATATAAGTATTTTGTAGGACCTGACAAACATATTTATTCAATATAAATATTCTAAATAAGACATGAAGTTGATTGTTATGTATTCTTCTTATAATTTAAAATCTATACAAAGAATTATTTTTAATGGTTATTTTTTTCTACAAATAAAATATGTATGTAAATTTGAATGCTTACAACAGCAATTATTTTTAGTGTATTAAATTAATTATTTGATTTTTTATTGCAATTGTTTTAGATAGATACAAAAATTGTATATAAAAATTAATTGAAACACTAAAGATTTAAACGTTTTTTAAATTAATTTAATTTTTGTGTTTCAAAACCTATTAAATATTGTAGTAAGATGGTCTGTAAAATTGATGGTTTATGACTACATAACACAAATTTTAATTATCTTTTACATAACTAAATTAAATTTTTAAATTTGATTTTTTAAACATTTATTTAGTGTAATATTTTATTTTATGCAATCTGATTATTTGATAAAACTCAATTAATAATATATATTCACAAAAATGTTATTTTGTTTGTCAATCTATTTTTAATAAGAATACTAATTAATATTCTGTTTAATTATAAACCTAATATTAATATAAAAAGGAAAAAACTTGTTCGATTTAATATAATTTTAGATAATTTTATTTAATTTTTAAATTTATAGTTAAGTTAGTGATGTTGCGATTCAAAAGTACAATATAATTTTATCCATTAATAATAATCACTTTATATCAAAAGTTAACAATTTTACGAATCAAGTAATGGATAAAATAAATTCAGAAAATGCAAAAACGAATGATAAAGTATGTGAGATGTCCGGAAAAATAAAAGAACCAGAAAAGCTTAAATCTTTAAACAATTTAAAAGCTTATCACCATAAAACAGATCAAAAAGTATACGGGTATGACATAGATAGAATACTTGATTCTTCTAAACTGGAAGTGAGTTTTAAAAAACCACTGGTTCGCTTGAATACTTACATATAATCATTCATTTTATTTATACCATACATTTATCCACGTATCACAAACGGCATAAAATTTTCTATCATTTTTTTTTATTAATAACATATAAATATATACTTTTTTTACTGAAATAAATATTGCGAAGAATTAATGTACATTTACGTGTGAAATAAGCAAAATGTCTGTTGTTACGGATTGAGACAGTTGAAAGCGGAATACAAAGTGGGAGAGGGATGAGCGCGCGAACATTTGTTTATAAACACTATCCAACGAACTCGAGAAATGCTTCTTATTCCGATACTCGAATGTGCGACTATAATGCTGAAAAGTAATAATGAACCCTATAAGGCTATGCCCTATTGACGTCACGACAAATATCGGCATAGTAACAGCCACCGATGCGCTACCGGCGCCGCAAGTTCGTACAAGAATATTTAAGGAGCTGCACTTACCGTGCTTTGCCTCTTACTAGTTCAATCAAGCACTCTTCACGACAGGCTCGTCATTCTACCTGCAATCGCCAACGACTACAACGGCTCCAGCCAACTAAAGTAAGCTGCGCCACCATGCTCGTTTCTTACAACTACGACTACAACGGCTTCAGCCAACTCACGTAAGCTACGCCACCACGCTCGTTTCTTACGACTACGACTACAACGGCTCCAGGCAATTACGTAAGCTACATATCACGTTTGTTCCTTACGATTGCGACTCCAACGGCTCCCACGCTTACTTAAGCTACGTACCACGCTCGTTTCTTACGATTACGACTCCAACGGCTCTTGTCAACTACATAAACAGCAATGCACCACGGAAGTGCACCACTACTACAACCACATCGGATCTCACGAATACCTACGCAGCGACGCATCACGAATGACACTCACCACCACAAGTATAACAACGGTCCTCACGCTTATGTAAGTAATGCGCACTATTGACATTGCATTACACCGATGCGAGCGAATCTCCCGCTGACTCAAGCAGTGACGCTTCCCCTTCCAGTGCGAGTTTCCCTCTACTAAAATCTAATACTGCGCTTTGTGGTGGGCTTGTCTTAAATAGTCACGCGGCAGCTTTGTTAGTTGATAACAAAGGAGTCGATAGTGGCACTAGAAACAATGGAGGTAATTGTTCATTTGTATCATTTCGAGTGTACCGGCTTTTCCGAACCTCCAATGACCGTTGGAGATTTTTCTTAGAAGTTATGACCGTTGAATCATTTTTCCGAAATGATAACCGTTGAGTTTTTTCCTTGAAATGATAGCCTTTGTGATTTTTCCTTAAATGATAACATTCGTGAGATTCTCTGAATCCCGAACAAATGCATTGATATAATCCGTTATTTTACGAATTTCTATAAATATATATAATATACTAGAAAGTTATTAGTAATTTTCCTATTAATATTATTTATTAATTCTAATGTTATTCTATTTTCATAATTGAAAATTTCCATATTTATATTAAGTAATAAATATTTCAATAATCTTGAAACATTTTTAAATAGATCTATTGTATGAACAACTATTTTTATTACAGTGTACAAAAAACAAACATAATTCAAACATTAGAAATGAAAATTCTCTCATTGGAATTAAAAAAGAAACAATAATATATAATTCATTAGAATTAAAATCTAAAAAACAAGAAAATGATTTTTCAAATTCTAATTCTATCATTTCAACATCTGTGGATCCTAATATGACTACTAATTCTGTACAAAATTTTCAAGGAGTGGAAAAAAAAAATAAAAAAATTATACAAACATTTTGCGAAGAAAAATACAAGCAAAATGAGCCAATTAATGTGTTAATTTATAATAATAATGAAAAAAAAAATTTTTCAAAACTAAACTATAACATGTAAGTAGAAATATCTTTTATAACAGATTAATGCTTATATATTTATAAATAAATACTATTATTTAATATAATTAACCAATGTTTTAATAAAAAATATTGCTAGTCAACTGCATACTAAAATTGTTTATTTGAAAACATTTATAATTATAAAAAATAAAGTTTATTTTTTGTCAATCTAGAAGACTACAACAATTTTTTTTATAAAATTATTATGAAATATTTATTTAAATTATAATTATTGTAAAGAAATTTTGCAGAAAAAGTTATGCATAAATATATATTTATTCTAAAACCTTTTGCTCTTTGAAATTCATAAGTCTTTCAGTCCTCGAATTTTTTAAACATTTATATTTAAAGCAAGCAGACCACGAGACGCTGCTTATAGTCAGTCAGCCTAGTCAGGCATGCTACTCACTAAGGAGCTATTCACTGAATGACACTCTCTAAGCAGAGCCGCTATGGAAGCTAAACGCAACAGTTTCATACAACTACACAACGTCGAACCACATACATAGTTCCCAAGGGCATCTATTTGCAGGCCTTTGTCATACTCAGTACCAATGCGTACTTTCTCAAGAATTCAGTGCCAGCACGCACTGTCTCAAGGAGGTGACCATAATCAGGTGACGACTACGTAGCACTACATGAAGAAGTGTCAAGAGATTTACGACTTCACACTTCCTCGTGTGAACATTCACCCCCAAACGCATCGCGTCAAGAGGATTCGGTGATTTACGAGTTCCTACCTCTATATATTGTACATGGTAAGCATCAAGGAACGGCAAGATCTCAACGTAGAATTATTCTAGTGGTTTGGATGCAAGTAAGAGGCGTTTGGAGACGCCAAGAAAAAGGCAATTCCTAAATGACGATCAAGAATGTAAACATAAATAATAAAGGCTAAGAATAAAGAAGCAAAGGGTATTCGTATCCTACTCATAATAAGTGCAAGATAAGTGTACACTCTCAGTAGTGCCAAGAAAAGGAAACAGTGATGCACAGAGCACAACACAAGGCAAAACCTACAAGCTGCTGTACGAGGCAAAACTTGTAGACATCACGAGCTGCCATCAAGAGCACAAAATCTGCCGAACTTACAAAGTTAAAGTCCCATTTATAAATAATGATAATTATATGCAATATGCTTCGCGAGGCAAAGATCTGTTCAGCGACCAAGCGGACACAATCTACAGAAGTACAAGGGGCAAGTTTAGTTCTCACAAGACAGACCTACAAGGTGCGGTACACGTCGATATCTGCAGACCAAGATTAAGTGCCACCAAGAGCACATCTGCAGAACCAATAAGGTAAACAATAAGCTCATAGAGAGCAACACTCAAGCTACCACCACGTGTCACTACACGAAGAAGCGCTGAGATTGACGCTTTCACACTTCGACGTGTATAGTTACACCACCATGCGCACCACGTAATCAGGA